ACATTATACAATATCAGTTTTGGTAAATGGCAACTCAGGAGTCAATTGAACCTTACAGATGGACCTGAAAAGTATGTTTTCTAAAGAACCGGAGTGAGTAGAGAGAATGAGCTTTTTCTGCCATCAGATACCTCTTTGGCAGGCGTGCAAACAGAACATCTACAATCCGTCCTTCCAATGCTGAACTGCCACCAGCTCACAGGCAAAGCTCCTGTTTTTCTAAGCTTCATGCTCGTCTTGTGTCCGGTTTGGAAGCTGAGATAGTTATCCCCCGCTGTCGTGCCAAAACACACATCCAGCTATTTCCACAAGGTTTCATTTTATGGTATCTGTCTGAAAACAGACATTTCCACAACAGCATGTTGTGCTGAGATGACCAAGGCCTTACTATACTCTTATTGTTGTTTYAATCCATTTAAAAGCACAAGGAAACGGAAAAAGGTTCTGAAAATCTCAGTTACTTTCCCACAGTTTGATATCCAACTTTGATGCTGCTACTTATGTAGTTTCTGAGAATAAAAGCTCCAAACACATCTTGGCACTTTGTTCATAATTTMTTTTAGCAAAACAACAACAAAAAACAACACTTTTTTTTAGCAATTAAAAATTGAAATCCAAAGACAAACATAAAAAGACTAATAAAAAGTCTGGAGAGCTACTAATCAAGACCACTTTCAGATATCACAAGAGATTCTGGCTGTTAGAAAGGAAACAAAAAGATAAATAATGAATTGAGACTGCGGAGCAGTACTGTATGCAGCTCTCAGAGGTCAACAACAAAACCTCTTCAATAAACTCCATTAGGAAAATTGAGAAGCTGTTGACCTTTAGCCTCCCTGGAGCTTCTAAAGCCCCCCTCCAACACTTAACGGACCAAACACTGACACAGAGCCGACCCTGTCAACCCTGGATGACATCATTCAGACCACAGATGTTCAGATGTTGCAGCAAAATCTTTCATTGTCCTGGTGGTCAACGTAAAATCTGCCATTTCTCAACTATAGGCTGGAGAAATTAAAGTGAGCCTGAAAAATGCAAAACAGACAAGGAGTGATTTCATTTTGAGGCCTTAAATAATAATAATAATAATAATAATAATAATAATAATAATAATAATAATAATAATAATAATAATAATAATAATAATAATAATAATAATAATAATAATAATAATAATAATGCCTTAAAAATCAATAATATTACATAACTACATAAAAGTTAAAAGTTATCTTGATAATAGCAATGTGTACAAATTGGTCAGTATAAATCTTCATGTTTGAATATTACATGTGGTGTTCCACAAGGCTCAGCTCTGGGTCCCAAATTGTTTATAATGTATATTAATGATATATGTAGAATGACAACGGTATTACATTTTGTTGTATTTGCAGATGATTCAACTATTTTTTGTTCTGAGGATGATTTAAAACAGCTTTTGGAAGTTGTTGGAAATGAAATTGATAAACTTAAATGTTGGTTTGATAGAAATAAATTATCTTTAAATTTAAGTAAGACAACATTTACGTTATTTGGAAATAGAGGAATTAATACAACTGTAAGGCTGGAAATTAATAATGTAAAAATTGAACAAGTTTTTGAACATATGTTTCTAGGTGTAATTTTGGATCACAAGTTACTTTGGAAACAACATATCAAACGTGTGTAATAAGATGTCAAAAACTATAGTGATATTAGGAAGAACTAGACATGTTTTGAACAACAAAACTATGCACACTATTTACTGTACTATGTTATTGCCATATTTAGAGTATTGTGTTGAAGTCTGGGGTAACACAAATAAAAGTTCTTTACAAAAAATATGTACACTACAAAAAAAAAGAGCATTGACTACATCACTATAACCAACTGATTATGGAAACCAATTCTTTGGCTAATTTAAGCAACACAACTTAAAAGTGCACCATAAACAATCTAAATTTTTTGCATTCATGGTAATGTTTTAATTTTTACCTGACAGAGAAGAAAATATAAAACACAAGAAGATGAAAAATTACAACTGATGCACAGAATTTAGCGCTCAAGGATTCCTTTTCAGTCAAGACTTGAAGAGTCGATTTATCTGTCAGTAAGAACAATAAGGGTTCCCAATACACTCTACCTAATGATGTTTCTTATCAGGTTCTAAAATTATTCTAATCTAACCTTAAGTGAACAAAAACACAGCAGATTCCACCATCGCATCATGTGTATTAACATAGCAGAAGTTTTGTGTCAGCCCCATGGAGAAAGCCTTTCTGTGCACCTGATTTCTTGGATTTTTGGTCTTAAAATGTGTTTGTTTCACAACAAGTCATTATATCAGTAAGGTAATCATTATCGATTTAAACCTTTAGTCTAACAAACCATTTAGTGGCACTTTACTCAGTTATTTACTCTCAAAGCTAATTGTTTTCCCCAGATTGTTGTATTATTGAGAAGGTGCACGAAGTCTTGGCCACTAGTGATGCCATCAGTGTCCAGAGTGTGGCGCTCAGCTCACATTGACAGCTGGATGTTAAAAAAACTACTGACTGCTTCAGGTTTTAAGCCTGTCTGATGTCTCCATTAGAGGCAAGGAGCAGAAAAAAAACTGAAGCACAGATACGTCTGTGGCTGCAGACAGGTTAGAGGTTAAAGCACTGGAGGACACCCCCCCGTTAGTCTGGGACCACCTCAGGAGCGGTTACCTCGGCAGATGAGTCCGTCCTGAACGATGGTTTGTTTGCAGACGCCGCAGTGCTTGGTCTTTTTGAAAGTCTTCACCCGAAACGTGTGGGAATGAAGAGCCTCCAACTCCTCTGGCTGTAGGCAGGAAAACAAAAAACGGTAGTGATGATGAGAGACAGGTTTAGACTTAAGAATTTATAAAATTAACATACCAAGCAAAAATTTAGCAATTCTATGAATCATACATGGACTGTATGGACTGTTGTTCTGATGCTAAACATGCATCAGACCCAAATTCACCTAAATGAGGAGGGGGATGAAACTGGTCCTAAATGCAGACGCGTTACACAGCTCGACAAAACTTTCCCACTTCCTTCCACATGTTTTAAACATCTCATCTTTTCTCGACTGTGTCCCGTCCACCAACACCAACATTTACTGCCAGCTTTGTAAACCTGGCAGTAAGTGATACGGAGCAGCAAATGTGTTGATCTCCTGCAGCGGCTTTACAAGACACCTGCAAGTTTCTCAGCCCTACCTCAGAAGGTCCTGCCTTGGGGGGAAGTGATGTCATCTTTCTGCTGAAATCATCAGCTGGTTCCCATTTTCACTTTGAGGTTGGGCTCACTGTTTAAGGGTGCAATAAGCCCCATTTTAATCAACAAAATACTCAGATCTTTAGTGGGAAAACTGCAAAAATAGGAGTGATATTTTGATTTTTAACTACAAGAACCCTGTAAGCACTATTAAAAACCTTTTTTTTTTCATAGTCTCAAAAAACAGCATGTTAGAGAAGCAGTTTAGTTTTTCCGAGTCCTGAACATGGTTTTTAACTTATGTTACCCCTGTTGTTTATGGAGCTCCATGTGACAGCGTTCAGTTTGTTCCTCGGAGCCACATGGCAACAGCAGAACAGCCAAGCCTTTTCTCCATCTCCCGGTTATGCTTTACTTCTACATAACGGGATTAGCTTAATCTGTTTAGGCTGAAATAATGAGCGCTGCTGTGCAGGATGCACYGGGTTGGCAGGAGCGCAGGAGGAGAAGGGTGGCGGTCCCTGCCTGGCACACAGGCATGTGTTATCCAGTGTGCCATCGTGGAGAAACCCTGGCTGACACATGCAGGGTTGGAAATAAGGAGGTGGGCTTTGGAGGGCTGGTAAGGGGTGATAAGAGAAACAAAAACCTTTGGAATGAGGAAACGTAAGCCATCCCTGTCTTTAACTTCCAAAACCAGGAACTGTTTGGAATTCCTACTTAAAATGACCTGCATGGCTTTGGGCCTGCATTCTGACATGACAATTTATATTAAAGTGCCTGTGACATCCATATTCTTCAAATACAGAAAGTCAAAGAAAACATCTTTATATTTAATAAAGTTGGAATAACACATACGATTTAACCCATTTTGTCCCATAACTGGCATATTTTCTTTTGAACTTGGCTCAGCCAAAGTGAAACAGGAAGTGACATCAAAGGGGAACTCTTTAACAAAGAAAACTTTCTGGTCTTTGGTTAATGAAACAATATTATTTGAACTCTGACTCTCTCTGATAGTGACTCAAAATMATCTTAATAAACATCAGATTCTTCTCTACAGTTTGTGTTGTTAGCTGTTATAGCAACGCTCTGTTCACATGCAGACATTCCCCTTTGACATCACTTCCTGTTACTTTACAGGCAAATATCTCAACAACTGTTCATCTCAGCAACATGAAATTTCTTTTGCAATACTTTATCTATGGCGTCTTTCAAAAAAATGCATTCAAATGTATTATAAAAAATTGATGCCATAGCCACTTTAAAAGATATGTCTACTACTCTCTGCACAAAATAAATAAAAACATATCTCTGTTGTTCTGAGACAGAAATTTTATGCACGAATTGAAAGAATTTGGACAGAAAAAGAGCAATTTTAAATATAAATACTTCTCCAGTTATTGTAGTTTTCTGGTGGAACTTACAAGGAGTCTCATCAGAAGGGCTGAAGGGCCACATGGGTGTATGGAGCTGCAGATTACAGACCCCCGGGTCCCCTGTGAACCTGCTTCCCTCAGATTCCATTAGAATAATATTTGGAGTGTAGAGGGTCTTAGGTGTGTTTTTGGGGTCCCTGCYGGGTACTGTTCTGTACAGGACTTTATTTTGTCACATATGAGTGTGATTGGTGTGTTTCAGATGGTTTTTTGACAGATTTATGCATGAAACAAATTTTTCAGATTCCAAATAAATGACTTCTGCAACGTAGAGGGCAGCATTTTAATCAGTCCGTGCCGCCGTAGCAATAAGCACTTTTTAATCCTCTCAACTAACAAAACACCTCTCAGGAAAACTGCTGAGTAAAGAATATAATGTATTTACACCACAGTTAATCAAACTCAGCAAACACATAAATGGTTACAACATATATTGAGCTAGAATCTGATGTGGTTGCTGAGAGTCATTCTCAACACAAACTTTAAGTGCTAACAGATCTTGTGAGGTTTGACCAAATCACTGTTTTAATTCTGATTAAAAAAATGATCTTAGTTAAATGGGAAATATTATGTGTTTCTCAGGCATATATTTAAAATCTATACCATAATAAAATATCTATGTCACCTTCAGTTGTTATTAAAATGCTGTTTTTATGTTTAAATAGAATTAAACTTGATTTCTCATCATATCTGTTTCTAAACWCCTTGAACTTGGCCTGTGTCTCTTTAAGAACCTCCKTCTGCTTCTGTCACACCCATTTCAGCACGGGGCCAGGTGGGTCAGTGTGCTCTGTGATGAGGAAGCTCAGCTTGGAGACACAGCCCAGAGGAGGAGCTGATCCCAAAAGGTGGTTCTAGTACCAACCAGTCATTTTTGCTCCCTGCCTGGCTGCCTCAGGACACTACAGGATTTGTCAAACATGCATGAATGAGTCAAAGCAAGACTCTGGACATGTTTTTGATGAGAGTAAAACATTATAACATGATGTAAAGGTCAAAAAAGTTGATTTTACATGATATTGCCCCTTTAAAAATTCTGGCATACAATAAGTTTGTCTTTGAGGAAGTCTTCAGTCCTCAATTCAGTGCTTGTCTCAGGATGATGTGCAGCATATCCTTAAAATATCTGACAAAAATGAATAAGTGGAGGACAAGAGAAGAAATGCTAGTCCTAAAACAGGCCTGCCAGCTGAGGAACAGTAACTGAAAGCTGTCTTTAGGAAAATAAATAATTCAATATATAAATCCAGCAAACACCAGACATGTGGCTTGAGATGATGTAAATGTATACGATAAATAGTTAGAGCAGGGGTTTGCAACCTTTACAATCAAAAGAGCCATTTGTGCTCCTTTTCGCACTAATAAAATGTGTCCAGAGCTGTAAAAAATGCTACAACTGTGATTATCAACTGGTGGTCCGTGGGCCTTTTCAAAGCCTTTTCAGGAACCTTTACGGTCAGTGGAGGTGACATTATGAAACTTAAAAAATATTATTTTATTTATTATTATACACATCAGGACAATTATAAAGGCCATATTCATGTAAACGAGAAAAATAATGTACAGCAGGGGTGGGCAATCCTGGTCCTTCAGGGCTGCAGCCCT